AATTCGTAGCGTTTTACAAGTGATGGGAAGTACTTTCATTAATGTATTTTTTAATGCTCATGTGAAATAAATAACATTCTTTCATTAAAAAACGCTACGAATTAATTCCAACACCTAATATTTTTTTTTTGCAATTAATATAATCAAAAGTATTAAATCAATTGTCATAATTCGCGTAAACAGCAGTGGAAATTTAGCAATAAAATTTGATGTATTGGAAATTTCACTGCGGAATAAGAAAATCACAATCTTTCCTTCCGCGTTTTCGCGGAGTGCTAATGTTTTAAGACAAAAAAATTGTGATAAACGACATATAAATTGATGTATTACGAGATCACAAATAAAATACGTTCTTACATTGAAGGAGAAGGAAATAGTTTCTGACAGTTTATATTTCAGCGTAAACTTTATGTTCCGTTCTTAACATGATGTACTTCACATTGTGATCACCTCGCATTGCGAATCCATTAGAACATCATGTATTATTAAGTCTATAAAGCGTAGAAATTGCGTAGAAAGTAAACAGACTTATCCAATATTTTTGCAATATGTGTTATAATAATAAGTAAAGAATTCAGAACTGACATAAGGTAGTTTAGACAAAAGCAAGTTTTAAAATTAAATATAATGATTATTTTATATAGTAATAGATGTGATTAATGACAAATTAACAACATTAATATTTTATAATATTGTATTTTCAAATTAAAAATAGTTTTCCCAAGTAGAAAAAAATTATGATGGTTCCAGAATAATTATTAAAAGCCATTTTTCAATCAACCAAGATTTAATTTAACGTCGTTGCGACGTTATCGTAATAAAAATATATATGTTTATCTGTTGTTCTGGGTATCACACGCTTCTTTTATCTTGACATATATAAATGTTTTTATAAAATTTTACCATAAATTTTATTTAACAATACAATAAAATATATCAAGAATTTTATGGTTTAATTTGTTTTTATTAGGTGTTGGAATTAATTCGTAGCGTTTTTTAATGAAAGAATGTTATTTATTTCACATGAGCATTAAAAAATACATTAATGAAAGTACTTCCCATCACTTGTAAAACGCTACGAATTAATTCCAACACCTAATATATTAACTTTAAAAACAATCTGTATGTACTTGTTACGCCGCATCGCTTAATAGCAATTACGATCTTATATAAAAATCATGCATACAGACAAATTGCTATTAATTGAAAAATATAATATAAAAATTAATCTAAAAATAGATATTTCTAATTAAATAATATAACGAGGAAGACTCAAAAATTAAAAAAAGTTTTAAAAAAGACAAAAGAAGCTACGAGTCAAGTCAAAATCGATTTCACCATACTAGTTTCACTATTATCATTCGTTAGCTTTTTTAATCGATACTTTGTTTCCTTATAATTTTTTTTATCTCAATTATGGTCAAAGTTAACTAATTACATCCGTCCAGTGCACACTGGACTGACGTGATTGTTATGAAACCAGTCTAGCTTCGAAACATGCTATTTGTCTGAATTATTCGTCTGAATGTTCGATCCATGGCGTTTTCCTAGGACGACACTGCAATGTCGACGTTCTGAAACGTAATACCTTGTACATTCACTCCGATCCCGGTCGGATTGGATTCCTCTAGTAGAGAGTTCACTGTCACGGTCTCGCGAGCTGTAAGGAAAAGGAATAATCCGTATCGCGTTACTCGTTTTTGTTTTCTCGCGCGGCCCAGCGCGACGTCTCCCGCGGCACGACATACACGTATAATTTGCTCTTGCGCGTGTTTTACGCGAGACACACCGAGATCGGTTTCCCTTTCTCTGGTGAGCGCATTTTGCGAAGGTGAACGCTCAGCGAGTGAACGGTCCCCGGTCATCGCCTTCGTAGTTTATGCACCTCCGCATTATCAGCTCCGCTCGGCGCGCTTCTTCAGGAAGGGGAAATGATTCCCTCTCGCTTCCGTAATTTACTAGCGATCGACACAGCGCATGTTTTCAATGCTGCTTCCAAACGTACACTATATACAATACGCTTATTTCTTTTAAATTATTATTTTTTTTTCAATTTACATGAGTTATATATTTATTCTAGTTTATTAGAATAGAATTTTTTTAACTACAGATAATGCGTTTCGGAAAAATTATATATATTTAAAAAGACAAGATTTATTTTTAAATTCTTTTTAAAAAATTGTCTTTTTAGAAATTCTTTCAGAGTTTATGTGAATTTTAAAAAAGTTCTGTTATTGTTTCTGTTACTTTTTCTTTATTTATACTTTAAAATTTATCTTCTTTGTTTTGCTAAAATATGTAAAATATACATTATTATGAAACAATGATACACTTCTTGTAATATATTATTGTAGTTATAGTTTCTATTCATTAGAAAGTCAGTGACATTTTTTTAAGCAATTTAATAATAATAAGAACTAATGAGAACAGTTAGTATATAAAAAAGTAAATTAAGAAGTCGCGCACCAGAGAAAGTATGGGAGTGAACAAGTCGCTAATAAATCATCTATAGCATTTAAAAGAGAAGTCAGTAAAAGTAACTCAGTGAGTAACTTTGCAATTTCAAATCCAATTTTACCCTTTATAATTAATTAATTTTGTAATTAATTCGTACTTTAATATAAATATCATCGTATTTGTAACTTCTAAATTGACATAGTTATAAATGTTACTATAATCGCAGTCACGTTAATTATAAACCTTCCAATTAAAAACTATCTTTTAATTGAAATAAGATTTTCTATTATTTATTTACACATAATTGAAATTGAATTTAAGAATTCTACAATATAATACTGCAATATAAAAAAGTAAAAAGTAAAAAATAAATATCAAATCGGAAAAAGAAAAGAATTTCCATATCAAAGCATGTTTTGAAATAGCACTATTATTACTTTCACATATAAATTTATATTTAATAGTAAACTTGCAATTTGTAAATCTAACATAGGGTTATTCTGTTAAAATATATATTAGTTCTCAATTAAAATAAAATTTTACAGAGATATTAATTTGTATACCTTCTCGTATTATAAAAATCTTGCGGAAGTATTCGTCTTTGTTTTAAAATTGCTTTAAGTTATCTAAACATACAATTAAGGAATATATAGCCATAATTCAAGATATTCTAAGAGATAAAATGATGCATTTCGAATGATCTTTAAATTAATACGTTAAATCATAAAATTTGTACAATTATATATATATAGTTTAACGTATTAAGTTATTTTAACGTATTAATTTGAAATACATTATTTTATCTCTTAGAACATCTTGAATTGCAGCTATATGCTCCTTAATTGTATGTTTATATCATTAAGCCTTCAAAAAGTTTAAATTTAAATTATCTTTTGTAATATGCGTACATTGATTCTGATCTAATTATCATTAAAATTTACAGATACATAATGCATTTATGATATTATAACTGATCTGATTAATTATTTATAATAGTTATAAATGCTCTGATAAATATTGATAACAATTACAGATATCAGACAATTAGATACAAATATTTTGAACAAAATCTTGTAGTTAAAAAATTCCAAAGCGATATTATACAATAATACTAAAAGATACTATTGTATAATTTTAACACATTATTATTAAAAATATACTGTAATATCTAACAGTTTTAGCATAGAATTATAAATGTTTGTATCAGAGATTAGTAGTTTGTTCATAGATGGCAGCAATTACTGAACTTTCCAATAGAATGCGGCAGAAACATAGATAGAGTTACTATTTTATCCATATACAGTCTACTCGAAGTCCAGTTTTCCATAAATGTTAATTACATTCAAATAAATAAATTTATTATCTTCGTTGCTTTTGAGAAATGTAATTAGGAAATGTAGAAAGATACTATTTATAAACTTGAATATAAAAGATATTTTGTAAATTTTTATAAAATATATATTGTAATAATTGCGAAATGGTAATTTATCGTAAGAGAAAATTTTTATCTTGTAATTTTGAATACATTCAATAATCTGATTTTTCAAATATTTCAAATAAGAAATGTTACACATTCGAATTTATAATACATCGCTCCATAAAAGTGACACAATTCAAAATATGATCTTTAAATTATTGTCATGAATGAGTAAAGTAAACATTATTTTAAAAAAACTATTTTTAAGAGTTGTGAAAGAAAAATGATAAAAATGACATTTGATTACTTTAAGAATATATTCTTTTTGCGATATTATTTGATCAGTTAATAATTGTTTGTTAAAAATATCCATTTTTTCGAGAAAATTTAATCTGTTTACTTGTGTCACTTTTAAAGCAAAGAGGTGACGTGTTAGACTTTAGAATATATAATAAAAAATATATAATACGCTAATGTATAACATTATATATATTAAATATATAATATTATATAAATATTTGCAATCTTATAACAAATTCTTATGCTAGAATGAAGATAATCTCAATACATTCGAATATCTTTATGTATGGAATACAAATAATAGAATAAGTGATAACATTGTTTGATTCCAAATAAATACGAAAAGATAAAAAGAGAGAAATTTCTTCTAAATCAGGAAGGATACCTTCAAAGTCAGGATGAAAGGATACATCGCACGATTACTCTTCCTCTCGCGTGAGGACGCGTTAGATTAGTGAAACGAACGAAGACGCGTCCGTCCGCCCGCGTATGCGAGGCACAATCGCGATCTTGATCTTGGACGTTCACTTAACGCCTGCCTTTCGTTGGGAGAAGGAACAGCCCACTGTTACAGATATCGAAAACGAGGAACAGGAACATACAAAGGCAGTGAGCGTAGCGAGGGAGGAAGGCAAAGCCACCGGCGCTTGTCCCTCTCTGTTACACCGCGATCGGGTGACTTTTTGCTGTGAGAAGGCTATTAGCGATTCCTTTCACGAGTGCGGTGCATACGGGTAGCAAAATACTCCCTTTCATTCTTATCCGACTTCTATCACGTGCGTATATATATAAGCGAAACGCGTATTCGCGATGGTTGTCAGATCGAGACCGAGCGGAGGAGTAACTCGCGTTGTTGTGTTTCCTCGTTAATTTATTACGTTATTTATAACTTTTTCGTAGCTTTCGCTTCACTCTTTTTGTCGCCCTATTGTGACGGAAGCGATATTTTTCTCGATAGTCCTATCCGAAAACGGAACGATGATAGGACAACGAGAAATAATACCAGGCTTCTTGGTAAGTCTCGAGACGTTTACCGCATTTTCGACCGCGACGGAAGTGAAACAGTCAGTGATAATTCAAATTTTTGGAGTTAATGTATCGAAAGGATCATTATTTCTCCGTTTAATCAAGGAGAGTAATGTAAAAAGTATTAGCTTTGTGATTTATAATTAAAAACATTATAAATGATATTCGGCTTTTAGATATTTTTAATATCAAGAAGTAACATTTCCAGAAATACATAATATTTTTATATTTGTTATTGTAATTTTGTGTACAATTTTGACTCGTTCCGATTTTTTAATTATATCTCGGTATATCTTCCGTGGAAAGTTAGTTATTCGAAGTTACAGAGTCAAATTATTGTATTATTTAGTATTACACATAGAGGCATTTTTCTTACAGCATTTTCTTATTTCAAAAGTAACACGACTAAAAAAAAATTAAGTTTCCTTTATTTAGAAAAGGTCATTTTCGTTTTACAACACAATAATTCTTTGAGAATTAGAGCTTTCCAAGAATAAAACTTAAAGAAAACGTCACTTATGCTTAATTTGATTCTGGTCTCAGATTTCAACAAAATAATTTTATCATGAAACTCGGTTTTAGAAGGTTCTTGATATCAAATTTAAATGTCTGAAGATGTCGAATTTCAAAAGGATAGTAAGCATTTATGGTGCTTGAAAAAATTACGTTTTTTAGTAGTAACAAAAAATAAGAAAGCGACATATTACTGCTAATTTTGCAAACGGTCTAGTTTCTTTTCTGATAGTAATCTAAATTGAGATAGAGAATTGATTCTGTACGTATAATTTTATTAACAATTTTTTTGTTAAAAACACGATATTATTTTCAGTTAATTCTTCTCTCCGTCGCCGTACTAATTAACTTAGCCAACGCCGGTGGACACGGACACGGACAGTAAGTTTAAAACAAGTGCACTATCGAAAAAAAAAAATAAAACATTTAAATATTATATAATTTTATCACAACGATAAAACTGATCGCGCAGTTCATCTTTAAAAGCCAGTCAGAAGCTTTAATTATTGTCCGCGTCCTTTTACAGTAGTCACGTGATAATCCACGTGCCGTACCAGATCAAGAAGATCCAACACACGCACACGATCACGAAACACATACACCACGGCGGCGGCGGCGGCGGCGATAGTTACGAAGTACTCGGATACACTTATGGTCATCCCATTTCCCTTGGAGGTCACGACGGAGGCGGCGACGGTGGTCATGATTTTGGAGGTGGCGGCGGTGGTCATGATTTCGGAGGTGGTGGCGGTGGAGGCCTAGAACTAAGCCATGGTGGTGGTTTCGGAGGAGGCGGCGGCGACTGGGGAGGACATTAGAAATATCCTCGAGTGAATTATTGATAACTTTCGAGAAACGTTAAAATAGCTTTAAAATAGTCGACATGATAACCCTTTGAAACATATGAAATATTTTTCATCCCTGTTGATAATGCTAGTTTTTGTACATTATTTCTATCAGAAGACAATGTCGCTTATTTGGGATAACAATGACATTATTTAAAAATTGTTTTTTAATTGCTTACGAAAAACGGGAATGTATAAAGAAAGAGAAGAATGTATTTTTATTTCTCTAGAATTAGTTATTACATCAAAATTATAATGAATTTTAAAATTATTATAAAATTGTAATGATTTAAAATATTCAAGTTAATTTTCTGAAAAACTGTTTTTCTAATTATATTATTATGGCAGCAAATGAGCGATATAATATTCAAAAACTGAAATTGTTGCAATTGGGTTAGAATCAACAAGCGGAAAAAATTTTCTATAAAAAAATTATCACGTGTATTAATGATCTATAGAAAGTATATAAAGTAACGATGCACTGAATTGTCTTATCTGAACTGTCATCAGACAGATAACTAGTATTTGTGAAAGAATATATGTACACATGCTTTAAATGGTTAAATGTTCGCACGCACGAGACTTCTGTGTGTATCAGTACAATGACTGATTCGATTTCACATTTTTGAACAATGCAAGCATTCTATAATAATGAAACCGAAAGATTCATTGTTCTGATGCATTCAACAATAGGATCATTTTATGGAACACCGACTGATTTTTTATCATTTTTGACTTTCGAAAAGTTACGGACTTTTTTTATCTCTAGTCTGATTGTAAGTTACTTTCATTAAATATATATATTTTATATATATATATATATAATAAATTTCGTTACTTGTAATTTTATTCTTATTATTTTTTATATACATTTTTTTATGTTAATAAACATGTTGAATAAATGTTGTATATTTTTACGATACGTATTTTAAATACGGTCGTAATTTCCTGTATCCTTCGTATTACAAAAATATTATTAAAATAAATACTTTTAATTTTTTTCGAAATTAATTTTTTCGGTGGAAACTAAAGTAAAAGAAAGTATTTGCAAGTTTATTAAATTTAAAAAAGTAAAGAGTAAACCAACTTTACACGAAGAAACTGTTATTTATTTAAAATAAAATTTTTTTCAATACATGATAAAATTTAAAAATAGTTACAAAGTAATAATACAAATTGTAATTTATATAAACTTTATTTAACATATCTTTAATTTTGCATTCAGCACTAAATCTGTGGAGAGTACATATTCAAAAGAATTCCCCCCACTAAAACTAATTGTACCGACTAATTAGGCATACTAGCTTCTTTTTCTTTTATAAAAAAAGAAGTCAGTATGTCATATTATATAACAAGAAAAAATTAATTGCTAATATATTTTGAACTTAAATTTGTAAGTTAAGAGACTGTTACTATATTCGCTACGCTACAAATACTCGAATATAAATGTTGTAATAAACTGTAAAGAAAATACTGTTATCAAATATATAATATTAAAATATCTCGGAAACAGTAGACCGTCTACATCCAAATGAAGGAGTGATTTAAGGGTTATTCAGGGAAACACACTCTATAATGCTGCCAAGTTTCATTGAAATCAATGAGGACCACTTCGGAATCTCCCCCTCTAAGTAAAATAATAGTAGACTAATTTAAATATATTTTAAATCTAATTGTGAACGCCAAATATATATAAATATATAAAACGCACTCTATTTCTATTTCTTTTTTACTTATTTTTTTTACAGTCAATTTATGGTTACGTCATTTGATGCTCGCAACGTTCTTGAAATCATTTCATCTTTGTTGTTTACTAAATATTAAATAAAGACAAATAATGCTTGCGAGCGTTGTAAGCGCGAAATGAAACACACTCTATTTCTATTTCTCGGTCTTTAAATGCTTCTAAGCACAACGGGTTGCATATTGTCAGGCACATTGAATTTAAATTTATTACAAAGCAAATAATTTGAGTAAAGTTATAACTAAATAAATTTTGCATCTACATATTTTTTTTACATAAATATTATATTTTAATTGTTATAAAACTTTAAAGTCAAAATGTTACTTTTATCTCCGTTCTCGCCTATATTATCTATAATGTACAATTAGAAAATTTATATGATTCAAAAACTAAAGTGCTAAGTCACATTTAAAATTAATAAGTATGTTTAAAGGTGATAGAAAGAAAAATTTCCACAATCTCCATCAAGCGTTCTTTAATCTCATTTACGATTACGATCCGGAAACCTTTCTTGCATGAAAAGCAAGAAGGTAGACGTGAAAACGCTGAAGGCGATCATTACTATAATACATATAATAATACATTATAAATTTAATATATAGATGCTGTAAATGAATGATTCTTTCGCAAACGAGGATTTTATTACTGCGTCAATAGCTATTATTAGTTTCTTGAGACGTTTCAGACAAAATGTTGCATGTATTTTCTCGATAATTATTCCATAATCATCTATTGATGTTGCAGTATTATTATAATACACAAATTATTATCTATTTATCTAGTAAACATCTCGTGAATATATAAATTATTAACATGTAATTTTTATTAAATATCTGATATATGCATATATATGTATATATATATATAACGTATGGTAGTTTGATTTTAATTTACAATAATATATGATTTATGTATGATTTTATGTATTATAATTTTAAATTAATATGTATGTGATAGTAATATGTATTTCATGAATATATACTCTTTTATTATTTGTTTGAATTTAACTTTCAAGTCTCTCCAGTATTCTTACGCGATCGCGTAAGAATTCTAGGAGACACACGCTTCTCCGCTTTGTTACTGTGCTGGTGTTCGGAATCATCGACGAAATAACGACCTGCATGAGTTTTCTCTTTTAATTCATTTTTATACTCATCAGCGGAGTGTTCACCCTCTTCGTGTTTGTCATCATAGAATTTCGTGACATCACCCGAATACGTGTGTCCGCTAGCGGACTCGCCCCCCTTATGATAATTTTCTTCATACGTGTGAATATAAGGGTCAATGTCATTGTTATTTATTTCTTTAACGTCCTCTTTTACTTCGTACTGCGGTGGATACGAATATCCTATCATATCGCCGTGTTGTTCCTGCAGAAAATTAGGTTTCTCGTTGTCTTGCAACATGGGAATATTAGAATCTTTGTGATACTGGGCGTAAGGGCTCTTGAAGGGCTCCACCTCTTTGTGAACATCGTCATCTTTATGATCCTTTTGATCTTTGAGATTGTTGTCTGATTGATCGTCGTGATCGCTTTGATAGCCGTAATTACTCCAGGAACTCCAATCTTCATGATGTGATTCCTTGTGATAGGTCTTCTTCTTCTTCTTCTTCTTCTTTGGTTCTTCTTCCTTAGGCTTCTTCGGTGCTGTCGAAATATCCGGTTTGTGAATATGTATGAACACCGTTTTTGTATGAATTTGATGGTTTATTATTTCGGGCACGTGAATCTTGAAGTGTATACTGTTAATGGGAAAAAATAAATATATATATATATATACATACACACACACACATATACGTATACATATATATATATATACATATATATATGACAAACAAGTAAATTTCACACTGAGAAAAAAAGTTTTATAATAGCTATCAAATGTATACTTTGTTTAGCGTTTAACGTATGGTGTAATATTTAATAATATTAAACATAATATAAATAACCATTTGCTATTATCAACTATTTAATAATTTCTAAATATTTAAAAAAGCATAAATAGAGTATAGTTGATACAACGCTAACTTTTTTTATACCAATCAAACATTTGATCGAAATTATTTTATCAAAATATTTAGTAATTACCATTTAGATTTGATTTATTATTATCAAACATTTTTTTATTGTATAAAAATTAGCGAAGAATCTAAAATATGCTACTGATTGAGGGTGTATACATTCTTTAATTAATTGCTAACAAGTGAGAATGAGAGTAAGCATAAACTATGAGTTTCTCTACAAGAAAGCGTAAAGTTGTGTTTAACGTTTAATGCCAAACATCTTTCAAAGCAATTTCGTGCAAACTAGATGAAATTATCTAATAACATAGCATCGGTTGCATACTCACTGCTCCTTGGCGCTTCCGTTGTTCAGCACACCGTTCGACAGAATGAAAAGTAAACTGATAACAATCCTCTGAAACACAAAGTTGAGGTCGTTACACTTAGACTATCCATACATGTATCTTGAATTAATTGGCGATGTTGATTATGATTCCATTATACTGAAGTATCTATAACGATTTCTTGCTGATTTAAATTTAATTTAAATTTACAAACCTGATACACGCACACATAACTCTTAATGGCATAATACTCAAATAACTAATTATGAGATTCGAAAGACATACAGAAGTCAAGATATTTTGAAATTTCTCACTTGCATTTTTAAATTGAATTATTCATAATAAAAGTACATCATATTTGTAACATTTATATATATTGCTCCTTAATATCACTTTATATGTTATTAATGTTATTATTATATTACCATTGTCGAATCGTATATTCGTCGTAACCGCGACTATAAACGCGATTGTTGACAGTCAATTACTGTTTGATATCACTAACAGTGAATCGTTATTTATATGCTATTTTCTTTTCATTGAAGCGAATCTTGTAAAGTGACAATACCATGACGCAGTTCACGGCTGATGATTACTTTCGCTGTATCTTTTCGGTGATATGCTTCATCTGTCGATCCATGACTAATGTGACTTTAGAAATTATAGGGTCAGTAAACTATGAAGATAGTCTGGCCAAGTTCAATGTCATGGCAAAATTATTTCTTTTGCCAGCTATTAAGAGAACATTATATTATTTTTTAATCTTTCCAAATTTTTTAATACGCAAAAAAACTTTAATTTGTTATTACATAACAATTAAGAATTATAATAATATTATTTCACGTTTTATTAAAAATGTAGCTATATTTATATTAAAGCAATTTATGCATAAAGTTTATATTCTATTATCCAATCAGCACATAATATTTAAAAAATATTTTTTTAATATTTAATTAATATTTGTACATTAAATAAATTTTTTAAAGTCATTTAAAAAAAAATTTTTTTAAAGCCATTGTCTACTAATTGGATAAATGCCGGAAATAAATATATGTTTATAATTACATTACTTGCATTAGTAAGGATTTAAGTAACCGTTGAAATGTGGCAAAACATTAAACTTTGTGAGTAAATATTTATTTTAAAAAAATACTATTATTATTATTGTTTAAATAAAAGTATATTAAATAAGAATTATGATACTTAGATAAGACATGTGTACAAGAAATAATGCAATCAAATAAAGTTTAATTTTTAATTTAAATTATAATTTCAAAAATATAAAATATTAGCAGTGTAAGAAATAAATATTTTTAAAAAACTATTCATTATTACATTAATAATTAGTAATAAATGTTGAAAGATAAAAATGGAGTTTAGATTTTTTTCATAATTATACATTTTTTTTAAATTAAAAATAATCATTTTTTAATTTTCAATCTTAAAACAATGCCGCATTAATTACATATTTATATAAATATTTCAAATAATCTTATTTTCATATTGGGTAAATAATAAAAAGCAAATTTGAATTCATTTTATTTATTTATAAATAAGCATAATTTATAAATAAGCATTACGAACTAAATTACAATATAAATACAATATAACAAAAATTACTAGACATTATACTAGTCATTAATAAAAATTTAATGACTTCTTTGGATTTGCTCTACTTATGCATAAATTAGTATATGTTGCAATCTATAAAAATACATATTTTCAATAATCATCGTAGTACTCTTCATCACTTTTGTGATGATGTTTTCCATGTGCAATTATCTTATAGATCGTATGTGTATGCTTCACATTCTTCACTCGATAAGGGACGTGTATTACCACTTTCTTCCTAAAAGAAGAAGTCTTAAAATATGATACTTTTACAAAAACTTGACTATAAATACTTACGACCCAATCGATTGATGTATCAGTACGAAGACTGTTAAAAACAAGATAATATACTGCAACAAACAAAAATTATTATATGTAATATTTTTTTATATATTTTATAATTATCTCTCTATTTTTTGCTGTTTATATAAACTCTTCTGAATTAAATTTAACAAATAGAAATATTCGAAGAAATTAAGTACATCAAATAAAAATTATTTGTAAAATGGATATCAAACATGTCATTTTTCGAATCACTTATTACTCGTAAATTAAATTTATTTGAAATCTAATGTTAAAATTAAAATTAAAATAAAGTAAATTAAAATGAATTAAATTACACTTTCAATTAAATATTAAATTAATCAAAATTAAAATGTGGTGTTATAATAAATACATCTTACCAAAAATTTGTACCGCATTGTGGAAAACATCAATCCGTTTGTCTGTAAAGCCTTTCTCGAAGCACTTTAAACAATCGAGAGATATCTTCTGAGCATCGCGTAGCCACGAAGCGAACGTTTATATAGTGTAACCAGTAACTAGCGATGAGAATCTCTATACAAAATATTCTATGAAACTCCGCCCACATGCATTCATCACAATCACTTGTATCTATCGCTCTAAAATATCACAAAATAATCTTTTTACATCGGGTTTCCTAATGATTTTCACATATTTTGACGCCGCTTTGTTAAGAAGCATTATTATCATAAAATGTTTATTATAAAATATAATTTTTATTATAAAATCTTTATGTATATAATTTATTTTAATTTTCTCTATCACTAAATAACTTTGAAGAATAATATCTCTAAAGATATTAATCAACTAATACATTAATTTTATAATGTTATTACAACATATTTATTAAAAGTTTTTAATGTAAACTTGCGTGATAAGAAAAACGTAATTTTATTCATACAACAAGTATTCTTATTGATAAGACAAAGATTCTCTGAACATTGTGAAAATGCATTTTCATGTAAATACAAAAAGGGAGACAGATTATGTAAATGATGTAAGGACGCAGTAGAGAATATATATACGAGGGTCGTTTGAAAAGTTTTGAGCCTCAACGTGAAATTAATCAAAACCATTCTCGATGCCAATGTTTACGTTTGATAAAAATCTGTGTCCTCCGAGCCTAACTTTGAACCTAGGAAACAGAAAAAAGTCGTTGAGGATCAGATCTGGTGAATACGGTGGGTAGTTAATTAATGCAAACCGCAATTTGTAAATTTTTGTTATGGCGATCGTCGATATTCGATTTTTTTTCCATTTTTATAAAAACGCTGACATTGACTGGCACAAATGGCTCTCAAACAACAACTGAACATTCAAAATGGTTACAATTTTCACAGGTATCTTGCAAAACATGTACGATTATAGTACTAGAAGTTTTGATGAGTAATGCCATTTTCATGTTGCTCAAAACTTTTCAAATCTTCGCATGTCTATATATATGCTAAAAAGTGTGGAATTATTAGAATGAACATGCAGATAGAATTTATAAATGAAGAGGAAAAAGATTTTTAGATAATGAAAAGGGGAGAAGAAGAAAAAGCAATAGAGATAAAGTAAGATATTAGGAGGAAGTAGAAGACGAATGCGAAAGTAGGAATATAATTAGTTTTATATATATATATATATATATAGAAAAAAATTAAATAATAAAAATTAATATTAGGTTAAGAACATAAATAATATATTGTATCGTATCCTAAAGTGATAATCATTTTAAACCTCAAAACAAGGACTAAGAGAGATAAAAATATTATGTAAATGCAAAAATTATGAATTAAGCAGCTTAACAGTGAATCTTTCTCTTCAAATCGTGACTTAAAGGTGCGAGCAAACAACAAATTGTCCTGTTTAAATAAATGCGTACGAGAGTCACTTAAAAGTGAAATCGATATAAAAAGAAGAGCACAAGAAACACCGCCTACATGCGCGTACATGTTATACAAACGTGTTTCTGCGATTAGCAGCGCAGTTTCGTATTTTCCAGCGATCGAAGAAACAGAAGAAATGGAAGAAAAGATCGCCGCGGCGTGACCACCTTGGCAATCGTGATCATAATCGCCGACCATGTTGATTTCACGGTCACGTTAATCTGTAGCGGATGAAAACGTTCAACGCGATTGATGCAAGGGCCGTGACTGTTACTTGGAAAGTGCACTTATCGCATTTTTTCACTTGTCATTCATCTCTTTTCTTTTACTGAATATGTCTCACTGTAGATGAGCAATTAATGAAGAGTTATTGAAATTATAATAGTTCTACATGCATAATTACATTTTGTTTTCTTTTTTTTTTAAAAAAAGTCCCCCTTGTGTTATCAATTTTTCATTTATTAAAATAAAAAATCCTTTTACGTTTAATTTGTCATATTAGTCGTATTTCTAAAAGCTGCAAATGAGTTAAATCTATGTCGTTCGTTAAAGTTTAAAAAATACAAATTTTATAGAAATAATAAATCTTGTTGATCCATGTAAAATTATTGCTTGATCGATCTAAATAAAATTGTTCATTTTTTTCGAATTTTTAAACGGTATCTTCTTTTGCGATATTTACTAAAGTGTAATATTTTTCTAATTGTACGAGTTATACTTTCATTATAAAGGTACGCGTTAATACGATACATTTAACGTTAAACTGTATTACAAATGTATCATAAACGTACATCAAAACTTTCTAATACTGCGCATTACCTTAAGTGGATCCCTAATTGTAGTTTAACAATAATAATACCCACATTGTCTATATCGCTTTCCCATTCGTCACATGTAACTTACCTCCATGAAAGTAATTAGAAATTAAAACAAACCGAAAGTAAAATATTATTTATTTACTCTTAATAAGTGTATCAATAAATTAAGTAAGAAATAAATCATATAGATATCTATCTATTTATTTATGTACAACTTAATAGTACAACAAAATATACACATGTATATAAACAAATTGAAAAAGCTTTGAAAAGTAATGCTTGTTTACAACAATGTTAGTTTTAATTTAATACGTATATATATATATGATGACTCAGAACTATGGCTATGCTTTTCATCTAGAAATTCGATTATATTTTGATTTTTATTGTTTCAGTTCAAATCTTCTTCGTCAAAATTACTGAGCAGAAGAGATTCGAATAAATAACAAAATCTTTTGTATAGCTAACGATTAAACATCGATTGAATTTCAAGTAAAGTCTGTACAATTTTAATTACTTGGTAAAATATTAATTAATAAAATAAATTTAGTTAATTAATTTATAGAAAAAAAGATTTCCAATTTAACCCAAGAATTGATACATCTCAGGAAATGATGACATCTTGAAAAGTTTGTATTCTGTGTATCATGTACGTAAAAACATGATAAGATAAATAATGCATATAACTTTTAAATAGTAATATAATAACGGTACCTTTTACTATGAGATACAAATGTTAATGTATCTCTGTTGTTCAATATAAAACAAACGTGTAGTCATTTTTATTTTGCAAATAATCAGTTTCCAAACCCGTTCAATTCCTCAAAAGTAATTATCCTTAGTTACACACACTCTATAAAATATTTAAAGATTCTACAAATATCTTGAATTTAAATTACGATAACCATTTCAACTAATTTTGACAAAGAAATAAGTAACAAGTACGTAGCTATAATACTTAATCTTTGAAGCATAGCTTATCTAAATCGATTATAACAATTATGGAGGATATAAACATACAATACATTTGTTAATAC